GGCTGACTTTATACGAGAACGGTAAATAGAAATATTATACGTCTCGGGTTGCTAAATCTATGCATGTCATGTTACCATTGTGTTACCTAAAATTCCAAATTACGATTGCCGTTAATATACACATTTTAAAAATTGAATACATGTTGGTGACAATTTGGCGTGGACGACTACCGGTAGACAACCTCAATCTTCAACATTATAAACATTAGACATATGCGATAAGATCGGCTTCATCATAGAAGTTCATCACGTGGAGACTATTCCCTGAAGATTCAAGAAAAAAATTTTGGAGTCAAATCCACTTGATATGCGCCGTTGAGAATCATAGAACTAGTAATAATGATATGAAGTTTGTATTTATTCGCTTACGTCAGAAAGGCAAGCAAACAGCGTCGCATAATGCAGATATCACGATATTTTGCAAATAATTTATCAGAATTCAGAAGCTAATTTAATTATCCTGGCATTTCTTTTATCTGGCTCAAAAATCGTTCAAATCAATGATCACAGGTAATCGTATCTGTGCTTTGTTTATCTAAAAAGGATTTCTTGTTTAAGATCAATAAATGTTAGTTTCGCTTGCATATTTAATTGTATGGATCCTCAAGTGCTAAAAATACGTCTTTTGTTAACATAAAAGTGATTTTGACATCAAGAAAAGAAAATACTTGGTTTCACCAGCATGATTTGCTTAACATGTTAAACAAACGGTTCTTGTACGAGTAAATTCGATTATGACGCCACAAAGAACCAAATGCAGCGTTTTTACTGCTGTATTGTAAACCTACAAACCTGCTGTAGTGTACCTGCAATATTGTAAAAAGCATAAAGTGATGTAGGAATCTGGCCAAGCGGCAACTGCTATCGCAAATACAACTTTAAAATTTGTATACGACATACTGCATAATGCTATGTACAATACGGATGTACCTACTGTATGTAAATTGTATACAGCTCCATTACATCGCGAAATAAAGAAAGCCGGCAACTGTTTTAAGTCGGCATTCATTAACTGATTTGGCAGTACTTGCTGACACACAATATCAGCAAGTTTCACCGTGAGTGGAAACGCTTGTTCAGGCTTTCAGACGCGCGCCATCCAGAAAACAGCGCGTGCAAAACTGGCGAGTTACAACTAACAAATCGCCCACTAAAGCAGATTTTCCGAAACAGCCGACTTTTCGATACCGTCCAGTTGCGGTCAAACCTGTTAGATTACTTGGTTAATTTAACGACCAAACTTGGTATTTTGCCGAAACTTAATAGGCAAACCCTAATAAGGTTTATTATCTTTTAGCGAAAAAGATTTTTTCATAGGGCTGACTTAAAACTATAATTTGGCTGTCCTAAAACCTTAAGGGCTAAAGGGCCTTGTTGTCAATTTTTAAGTTAGACGCTCTCAAGTCTCAACGCTAAAATGCGTATCGTATGATTCCAGCGTTAGAATCTGGATGAGTCTGATCTTTTCAAAAATTCAAAAGCAGTAGCATGTGAAATCTGCAAGAGCGGCCGAAATTAATATAAAAAATTAACTGCTTTAAAACTAATCTAAAAAATTAATTGCTTTTGTTAAAAATTTTAGTATTGCTTCTTTACAAAAACTTGTCCACTCGGTGATGTAGGGCTTTTTCAGATCGTGAAAAGCGACAATAGGCCTCAAGAAACGTGAAGGCGATGCCGCTTACAGTAGGACATTATAATATACAGAAGCTGCACCACCCACGTTGTTACAGTTTCAGCAAAAAATCCACTCTCAATTTATGGTTGTGCTTGTTACAAATCTGCAGTTTGTTACTTGATTATGTTTTCTGAAATATGGAATATGTACTTAATGATACTGATACTGCAGCTGACTGCACTACAGCAGCAACGCACAAACAGTCACAAACAAAATGAAGAGATAGAATTTCATATGACATCAGTTTTTGCATGACCTAGTTTTTGCCTGAAATTCTAATTGGTTTTTGGCTCTAGAAACAGGCGTGGCAGTGAAGAAAAATGCAATTTAATCACTGATGCATGACAGATAGAAGATTATACGAGCTATCGCAGATCCCAAGGCGGACCGCTGGAAAAACCAGTTATAAAAATAACTAGGCGACCAGGTAAGAAGAATGATGAGCACCATGAGGGAAAACACTAGAAGTTTTTTTGATCGTTGTCGCTCGCATCCACTCCTATGGACGAAGCAAGATCGGTTTCCTCGAAACGCTAGAAAAAGTTGTACTCGTAGTGATATTGTCACCACACACAACTGTCTACAGTAAGGATGGATGTAAGAAATTACCTCTTCGTTTGATTTCGGAAGGTTGAGTAACCACGGTGCCGCAATACGCCCGATTGACCAGTCGTTTTCGCGATTGCCACCTTTTCCAGACTACATACGGAAGACTAGCAATAATAAGCCAGCCTAAGGGTGTGGACGAATACTTCAAGACCTGAACATACACCGGCAGGGTGCGATTGAGGAGAGCCTTATGATCCCGGCACGATTCGGGCCCAGTGTAACTGGATAGCGCCACAACCATTCCTGGAATGCGCAACACCGTAAGCGCAGAAACTTCAGTCATGCAGATAATTACTACCACATATAAGCCACATATATGTAGTATAAACATTACCTTATTATTATCTGAACATCGCCTTGTCACACTGAACACATATTAGTATGTATTCGCCAATCGGCATGCAGTAACTGCAGTGTGTATCACTATAATACTCGTACGGCTGTGGCAGGCAGAAATAAAACATACTTTACAACGGCAGCGACCTGATAGAGCACTATATATAACTGGAATAGCCTTAAGCTTTTTTAACACTTTAATCAAGCGATAAATTCTGTCATGAAAATGAAATCATCCTTGAAGGTCAGCCACGTACCAATCTGTTTAATTGATATTCCAGAAAATATTTACTGGAGTCAGGTGTTCTGGATGCTCTTCGCCGTGTATAAGCAGTAATGATGATACCAGGGGGTATTGCGTTGCGGCGGCGTATAACCGTCGTTGCGTTTAGTAGATATCAGGATATTTGTTCAAACACTTGTAAGCTAACGTAATTATCCCGCCCTTCTTATATCTTGCTTGAAAGCGTTTGAATTAAAAGATCAAAAGAAACAGAGAGCGCAGTGAGGCATAAACAAGTGCGCCAGATTTGCTGACGTTAAACGAGAAACGGGCAATCCAAGTTTACAAACGTCTCGGTAACGAAATATGTCGAGGAAACACCTTTTATTGCTGTACGAGTATACCGTAATTATCGAATTTGAAGCCCCCCCCCTCAAAATACAAGCCCCCCCCCCGTAATTAGTGCCCACCCCTAAGGTCGTTTGAAATATTTGTAACCCTGGGCTTCTGATTCGATAATTACGGTATAAGGCGCCATGTACTTGTAAAAAAACTTCGGAGTATCATGGACTCAGTTTTCAGAGTGCCCAGGTCGTAACAGAGCAACTTTTTGGTAGCTCAGTGTCTGCCCAACATTCATTTGCTAAGCGTCCTAGACCACTGTAGAAGAAAGCAGTTTTTGTACTTGGTTCAAGTTAATCACTTGGAGTACCAATTTTCCAGCCATTTTCAAAAACTTACAGTGTCTTGACAATTTGCATTGCCTTGATTTGAGTTTGACACCAGTACGAGTAATTATCGTATTTGTTGTTTTCCATATAAATTTTGAAGTTCTGCAGGATATTTAGATTGCAGAAGATTGTTCCTTTTACATGATTACGAACGAAAAGCCGGTACAGAACAGAAAATGCTCGCTAGTCGTGTTTTTATCTGATAAACTTGCGAATTTGATTCCTCGATTTTCAAATGATGCTGAAATTATTTTAAAGTGAGTCTTTATTTATTAACAGTGCATTTCCACACTGCCAGGGAGAATGATTATACAGTAGTCTATAATCATCGTCCCCTGCAGTGTGGAAAACGTGCATTCGTTAAACCGGCTTTAAGACACCACGAGCAGCCGCACTAGTTCTTATTGTTGGCCAAAATAACCATGTGTTTTTCTAGAATGACTCTAGGATGACATAAAGAACCCTTTTCGGTTGAAATTAATGCAGGTATAACGCGGGGCCATATGGGCGCCACGCGTATCCTCGACAGCGAACAGCGTGAACCCGGATGAGGCTTTATTGCCGAATCTAATGCGCACCGTGGCGCAGCAACACCAAAACTAATGAGGAAGGATCCTGCAGCCAGTGCAACTGTGCTGCAGGTCCGTCAAAACAGCGCAGCAATGTGCGGGGTGGAAATCCCCAGAAACAGCGAATAGCTACTCAGGAGGGCGGGGCGTCCCGCCCTTACACAGGTGCAGATAGTGGATACACAGAGCGGCAACCAAAACCTTTTCAGAGCAAGTGCTAATATTAAGCCCTTTAAATAAACGGTATAAACCCAGCATCACGGTAAACGCGTGTATGCCTGATACCTACAAAGAGTCGGCGATCGTGTAAGTACTGTATGTGTACGTATATGATACTGTGTACCTCACAATTATTAGTAAAGTCAGTGCTAGCGCTGCCGGCATAACGTTTTGCTGCCACTGCTCACTGAGCACCGCTTAATGCTACGATGACGCACAATACACACAGATAAATTTTACTGGAATAATTAGACTTATTGATATGGCTGCTCTAACGGCCTTTACGAGTGCCGTAAACTAAGGGGCGCAGCTGACATTTCCAGCAACAAAGCCTTCCTGGTGAGCTGACACATAATGCGACGATGACGACATTTTATCCTCTGAATGGACACACGGGGAATGCAAACGACCGGTTAAACTTTTACCGCTTCCGGATGCGCTGTTTGGCTACAATACTGCATACCGATGGGAACGTGCAGAGTTTATGAAAAGCAAACTCACAAAATAGCGAGAATGGGCCATATCACATGTTACGTAAATCTGCCGGCAGTCCGCACACGTGAGCGCGACCATGATGTGGCTTCCATATATAATGGGCTTTCTCGAGCGCGATAACTCCATCGGTTTCAATTGCACCTCGTTTTGCTTGGCAGTAGTTCAGTAACGTCATAGTAATATACTTTAATAGTTCTTTTGTAATTTTATCATGATGCCGTTGATTCAGCGAACAATTTTTGCAGCGGTAGCCGCCATAGTTGTAGCTAGAAGTAACGGAAAGGTTGTAGCGAATTCGAGCTCGAAGAATATCACGAATTCCAAGTTCAGCCTCAACCAAACCATAAAAAGCACAGGTAGAATACGTACATTGTTCTTTAATTATACTATAGAAATTTGAGCATCCACGAAAAAATAAAGTAATGTTCTTTGTGCATGTTTTAGCAGCAACAGCCTCCTCGGGATGGGGCATTCTGGAGATCTCACCAAATGCGTTTATGTCGATCGTCTACAAGAATAACTTTCGCATCTCCGTTTACAAAAACCAGGCAGTCGATCCAGCCCTGGTACAGTACTTTTACTCCCCCGCTCTGATTATCGATCCCAGCTCCGCTACAAGCTCCTTCAATCGCTTTACGGAGCGCTTTGAGATGACCTTTTCGGTGCTAATGTGGGACGAAGAATTTGAGGATTTTGTCTGCAGTGAAATCAGCAAAAAGATTGGTCAGCCAGTAGTAAAAAGCAGCGTTCGAACACTGCCTATTGAAGAGATCCGCATTGACGCCATAGGACATTCGGACAAGTACGACATCGTCAACAAATGGACGTCTTATGCCAGCCAGCCGTCGACATTCTCCTTCCGATTAAACTGCCTGAAAAACGATACTTGTGCCCAGGCAGCGCAAAATATGAAAGAGGGTCCACAAAATTTTGTCTCCGAAATGATTGTGTACTACAGCCTGCGCACTCAGAAAAGTGCTCGCCGATTGATTCAGGTACGTTAACTATTATCGCCGATCGCTTAGTAATTATGAGAATCCCTGCAACCTGTCTCATCCGTGATAATCACATACTAAATATTACAGGTCAAAGCTGAACACGTTCAGAACGGAGCGCTGGCTACGACCCTTAACCAACGCTTCCCCGGCAAAGACGTCGTCTACATGAAAAGTGATGACCTCAAGCAACTAACCCTGGAAATTGCCACGAATGTTGTGGCAACCGAAGTGACCGATGACGAATTCGTCAGCCAAGACCAGTCGATTACCATCAGCACTCTGCTAGAAAGCATCCTTAAAGCCAAAGCTGTGACCACCGCGTCTTTCGACAGCCAAATGTGGAGTTCGGTATTCTGGCAGGATGAAAATGCCCGCCCCGATAAAGTAACCCAGTCGCTCAACGAGTTTTACAAGAAGAGCGATAGTAAATTGAAAGAGATCATAAAAAAATACATCTCCAATCAAGGCAGCAGCAGCGGTTCAGGATCGTTGTCAGGTAACGTGGACATTCTGGGAATGCTCGGCATCGGTGGCTCGGCGTCCGGAAGCGGCAGCACTTCATCACAATCGATTTCCAACGAAGAAAAAGAAAGACTTATTGAACTGTTCACGGAAGCGCGTCAAGTCAGTCAGTGGAGCGGGGAGAAATTCATTCCCAAAGCCATGCAGCTCAGTAGAATCAACTTATCTGGTACGAACTTGCACCTTGCAGACGTTAGTTAACCGAACATACGTAAAATTAATAAGTCTTACACAAGTACTTGTTTAAAAGCCACCAGAATGCCTCAACAGACCCGTAATTTTCAGCGTCTGTGCAGAATTTTAAAGGGACTAAGCGCCCCTGTTTGTGCATTAAGGAATCTTGTAACCCGTAATAAATATAATATAAAACTCTCGAGTTATAGAATATGTCATTTCAGATTGTTTGACAATTCGAATTATTTGTAGCTTTGCGAGCCTCTTCCATAATCACGTCCACCCAAGTCCGTGTCACGAAAACAACCTCCGAGTTAAGCAGCCGCATCAACATTCTTCCATCGGCGTCTAGCGCCGGCGAGATTACCCAGCAGCGAGCCGAGGTCTATCGTCTGCAGAAAGACATCCAGGCGATACGCCACGATGTTGGTCATATCGGGCACACGGGAACTATTGTCATGATCTTTTCCCCCGTCGTTCCCCGTGGGTGGCTGCCCTGCGATGGCACGCCGTTAAACTGTACCGGCCCGCACCAGCGCCTGTGCGAAGTAACGAATTCTACCATGACGCCTAATTTGCAAGGACGCTTTCCGGTGGGATTCGGTGGCTCTTTCGCAGCACAAATTGGTGCAGTCGGAGGGGAAGAGCGACATACACTAACCGTCGATGAAATACCCTCACACCAGCATAACTACTGGAGATTCGTTACCCGCCCGGAATACGGTGATGGAAAGCACTATGAAGCCGGAAAATACCGGTTCCGAGATGACATTTGGGACGCCAGCAATCCAGTTGGTGGTGGTCAAGCACACAATAACTTGCCGCCCTATTTTTCTGTTCAGTTTATTATTAAAATATGATCTGTTTTGTTTTTTCCCGCTATATGTTAGCGCAAAAGATTACCTATTTTAAACTTATTTGAAATACATATTGTAACAGTGGCCTATCTGGCTACTGTTCTAGTGGGGTGGCGATCAGCCTTTACCACGATTAAACGGCTGTTGGTGTGAAAGGTGGCACGACCGGCAACGATGCTGGCCGAGGACGCTCTTACAGATGTAACGCAATTACACAGGTGGCTCCGATTGGGATGACGCTAGTTCATCCCAAGCGGTCAAAAGCAACAACGTAACTCAAGGCATGTTTAATGACAAGGGAATCAAGAACGCAGCAAGGTTGTAAGCAAGGGTTTCAGCAAGAGGAACAATCAAGTAGATGCAAGCTGTAGCAAGCGAGTGTCAAGACTGAATTCTAGAAATCCATGAGAAGGAAAAGTAGCCGGTAAAATGAGCACAAATTCATAACGCGTTGGCACGATGAATCATAACGGGGTGGTCTTATCGTTCGTACAAATACTATCGCTACAATATAATGTTTTGTGGATTCTTATTCATATCCAGACTTTTCTCGCATTTGGTTTGCTTTTGTCTTTGGTTTACGTATAACCTGGCGTATCCATCAGTAGCAAAACCGTTTATTTGCAAATTTGCAGTCCGGTAACACTTTCCGGGTAAAAAATTCTGATGCGGGCACAGTGATGCCACCTGAGCCGGCACATTACGTCATGATACGTTTTTCCAAACAGAGTTTCTTTTCTTACCAATGCCTGAGCCCAAAGCAAATGGGACAGTTTAGAATAATTTGCTTGGTACCAAAACTGATTCAAAAGGAATCAGTAAAGATTTTGAAATACAAGGAACCTCCAGTTAATAATGTATAATTTTCCAAAGAGAAAAACTAGAAAAACTTAAAACAATTTGAAACGTATAGCTAGCGTTACAGAAGTTTTCCGGTTCGAAAAGCCAAATATTAAACTAGATGGGCAAGACGGAACTCGTATAAAATGCTCCTATATGACATACGAACACAGAATACGCTTGGCGAAGTTGTATAATTCCCAGTTACTAAAGCTTTACATAACTTGTTACAGCACCGAGTACTGGTATTTTTTTGAAGAAAGTTTTTTTATCAGGCCGAGTTTTATACATCGCATATAATTTGAAGTGATTGAAGTAGGGCGTAACGTGCAGTAGTGTTGGCGTGATTTCCAAGCGTCAACTATACCGTTTAGGCGTTTACCCTTGTATCGTCACGCACAATGGCAGTTAAATTAGTCTTTTATTTACACGAACAAATGCTTCCGCGAAGCCATAAAAGCTTTTAACCGATGGAAACACAATGACATCAACCGCAGTTAAAAATAATCAATTAAGCTAACATCAAACCACAGTCGTACTAATGGAGATTCATAAACAGTGTCCCGCGCGACTTCACCCGATCACCGCCCCCCACGGAACCGCCCGTCGAGCGGTACATCCCGCCGAAACTCCGCCCCGGTTTGTGTACCCGTACATTCTCCGAGCCGGAGCGCGGCAGCCGGTACAGATCGGCGACATTGTGCAGGAGATACCAGGCCACGCTCATGCTCACCGCAATCAAGGCAAAGGAAATATAAAACAGTATATACAACACTAAGTAGATATTCCGTAGAAACGGCGCATCGTCCACTTCCGATCGTGGGTCTTTTGCCATCAGATTGACCATCACATCGGGTAACGCGAGAGTGGAGGAGAAGAAGAGGGCGCTGGTCAGGAAGGCGAAGAAGACCAGCGCCGTCACCGAGCCTTGGAGATGCCAAGGCAGGACTTTCTTGGTGTCCTCCGGGGTGCTGTGCCGGGTGATGGAGATCATGGCGGTGAGGCCGCAGATGAACTCCAGACCGGACACGAGGAAGCCACTGCTGTGGAAGGGAAGAAATTTGGAATAGGGAATGATGGTCAGTGCTGCAAAGGATGCGCTTATTAACCAAATCATAAAAGGTCATTTGAAGGCACTTAATTAATGATGGTCAATGATGAAAAGGATGCGCGTAAGAAGTAAGATCATAAAAGGTCAAAATAAAGGATAGGCTGTAATTCGTCTTACGCACAGACTATTGTACAGTAAATCACTGCTGCAGAACACAAAAATTAGGGATACTCTAGTTCTTAAACTGCAGTACAAACGCATGCATGAGAACGCTAGAATGGGTGGAGCCGTTTGAAATACCGTATTGTAAACTTTTAGTAAACGTGCAATATGTTCCACTTCCAAATGTATTTGTACGTGCGTAAAAGGTACTTTCTTTTAAAAAGCTAATGAACTGAATTGTGAAAAACGCTATATTCATATTGAAGTTGCACCATAACGCCTTTGGCTCAACTTGCAATCAGAAATATCGTACAGAATTACAGGTAAGTATCCGCTGGTCAACAAATCTGATCGCAAACGATTGTCGTCCTACGATCTTTCCTCTTTTATTTTTGTATGAAATCTAAATTGTGCGATTTATGTTATCTAGAGTCATGCTTTAAAAATGACGGAGAGAACATATTTGTTAAGATGAACTGGATTTTAATTTTAAATGGCATGTACGTCATAATTATAGTGAAGTACAGACAGGATACACATGTACAAGCACGCAAGTTAATAATTAAGTGTGGCCGTTTTTAGCATCGTTGACGACAGATGTCGGTGGTCACGTGGTGTAATGCAGAATCTCAACAGCGCACGGGACCTGTCATACAAAGCGTAATTTTTTAAAGGTTACTGGTGAAGTGTTTAAAGTGTTGCAGCTTCTTCTTGCACAAAGCTCTGTATGCAATAAGGAAATCCCATAGAGTTTAAAGCCATTATGGTACACTCAATATGTTTCAATAAAATATCACGCTGAAGCGTTGGATTAAACCGGTCCAGGAAAGGGAGGATTAACCTATTCCCTAATCCTGATGACCTGGCCGTAATGCGTGTCATTATCATGCGGCCAGATCAATGAGATCATCCCCATGCACTTGTACGATGACTGCCGGAGTAATAGCATGTTATTAACCTGATTGGAAAATTACTTCGCGGTCAAAGTAGGCCGATTTCCCAAACATCAACAAGCTAATGCCGGGATATGAACAAGGATAACACAGCGATGCATTTTATATACAACCCACAACGGCATAATGTTGCGCTCCTAGCTAGGCCACCCCCGGCTCGATATTCTAATTAACACCCCGCAGTACAATGCCAACGGCACACTTGAGAAAAACCGCAATAACTAAGGCAAATCAATAGATTTGGTTACGGGCACAGATCAAAAGGCTTTATACTCTTGTAACTGATCAATATTTGCCGGTATATCCAGTATACACACTACACACCCTACGCACGGCGCGTGAAATTAGTATCGGTTGCCGATGCGGATATGATGGATACAAGTGGCCCTCTTCACTGCTCATTATCCAGCAGCCTCGTGATGTTGCCGGTCAATTTTGGCTGCTGCACATATATCAAGCCGGGCGCCCTCGGCCTTCCGGCAATATCTAGCCATTTCCATCTGCAACACACTATCACTGTGGCAATTTTCTCATCAACAAATCCCATTTCCCTGCATCACTCCTCCAACTCAAGTGCTCTTCCCTCGCGTCTTAATGACTTCGCGTCCGCCCTGTATATACAACGCTGTCTAGACAGTCTGGCCCGTTGTGTTTTCAGCACCAAGGGCTGATATATTGCTCTGCTTTATGCGATGTGTTTTCTCTTGGTTGAAATGATGACAGTAGCGCGCGCGTCAAGTTGTCACGGCAAGGGACCCGAGTCTCTGGACTGGTCGCGAGCGCACGGGACAATTCAATTATACTGCCATCACCCCCGCACTCGCGCGTCAGGGAAATTAGCTATAGCTTGCCAAAAGAATTAATGCATCGCACTGTTAGGTTTATATCGCCTGTATACATGCCATGGGTCACTTTCTATAACGCCAGGGTCTGTGTGTAATTCCCTAATGGCAAATCAACCTTCGTCATCGACACTTTTCCACCACGATTATCAATTCCGTTGAAAGCCTCAAAAGATAACCTTAACGATCACCCCAGACACCATTATTTTACCACAGTAAAATACATCAAACTCCGCTAATGAAAGTTCTCTCTACATTATAAAAAAAAGAAGTATGCATTCGCAGAAAAAGCGATAAATTATTTAGAGTCTTACCTATGACATTGAGCGCAAACATCACCACACCGATGATCATCTCACAATTTCCCAGTAATAACAGGAGCAGCACTTCCGTCTCCATTTTACCAGTGGGACGCTGTACCCGGCTGTGGCGTCTCGTGTAGGCCGCTGCATGACTGGCCGCCGAATGACTGGCTCGTCGCAGCCGCACACCGGCAAGTCCATACATGTTCCCAGCGTGATCACCGTGTTGTGTGCGTATATGGACGTGGTTGTGTATATGGACGTATGTACACAACCGGGGTATTTTAACTCCCAGCGTCAATAGTCAACAGTACACATTGATCAGTTTGTAGGTTGTTAGCATAAAAAAGAGTCGTCTTTTCTCTTTTTTACCCCTGTCCATATCCTGGCCATAAGCAAATAAAGAGGAGCCTAAATGGAGATCAATCGACAGGCATTTACTTCAACAAATACATGACATTTTCTCCCTCTCTTCGTTGACTCTAATGCCCATGATCGCGCGCGCTTCCGCCACAACTCCAACCAGCCAACAACACGCGCACTGTGTCAAACGGAGCGTGTGTACCGATGTGGCAGCACGTATATATATATATAGCAATAGTATAGACGGAGAATCATTTTGTTAATTGATTTTTTCCCTGGCCATCTGCTAAAGAGGGGGTGGGTCGGTATATTACCTGTATGTTGGACCCTTGCGTGCCACACAAATAAACTCAATTACCGGGGGGAGAATTGAGGAGAGTGGTGGTGGTGAAATGTACTCGCGCTCTCCCTCGTAATACGAATGAATGGCTTGGCACATTTATGAGGCGATCGTATTCGCCGGTTAGCCACGTCAGTCATTCCCTTCGCTCTTCTCACTCCGGCACTTTATATTATATCCCACTCTGTATATATACTGTTTATATTGTTGCATCAAGCGGGCCGTATAATCCGCTCTTTGTGGACTTTGTGATCCTATGCGATGAAAGGCCGGCTGTGTTGTGTGTGTGCGGCGCTGTGCGCGGGAATGTGGCGGTTTACCAACTTGATGTAGGCCTACTTAACATGATCGAGAGTAAATAAACTTGGGGAGTAATGGGATCAGCTTTCCAGGTTTACTGTACGAGAAACCCCAGCCGTCAATGTCAACTCAAAGGCTCTTTGTAGTCCATATCAACCGGCGTGTTATGTTTCGCCCCGCGGCTGCCGGTCGATCGTGCGGCCAACTGCCGCTGTTTCCTGCTCCGTAGCGATCCTACCGTTTTCCCTAAAATAAAAGACTCCTTTTTTCGTGCGTCAAATTGGACCACTGTATTAAATATTATGCTGTAAATTAGCGTTAACATCGTATGGCGAAGCCGTACTTCCTTGTGTTACTTTGCAATAATTATTTCCATTACGTTGTATGTTTGCGTGCAGGCACATGTGGAAATTACGCGGAATAGTAGAGAGATAATTCGCACCCATCGTCTGTACAGTACCTGGCGACTGCACTCTCGAAAAGAAAAATATACATTTTCAGTAGAAGTATTACTGTATTTACACGATATTAAGGGACGGAGAAATCCCTTGGACCGCCCCCACTAGGCGTCGGCTCCACTGATGTCAAAGAAACCGACAGCTAGTGCGGGCGGTCCTGGGGATTTCTCTGTCCCTTAATATCGTGTAAATACAGTAACAACATCGGTTGCGTGCATGTATAGCAGTGTGTAGTGTGGTCTGTGTAACGTAGTGCAAGGGCATGATGCGAAAGAAGTCTGTTTCCTGAAGTCTGCTGCGTTTAGACAATTGCAGTTAGTCAGATGACAGAGAATTAATTTTGTCTTTAGAAGAAATCTTTTCTTCTTTTCAACATTTTGTACAACAAAAAGTATTACAAACCATAAAATATTTCATCTACAGACAAAAATTAATTCGATCGGCTGTCACCCGTCAAAGCAAGAGTCAAGAACCAAACTTTCTGCGCCGTGCCCTTACATAGCAGATACTCTGTGCGTTTATGCACTGTCCAAAGTACACATGCTGTTAATTCCTTATTAACTTTATTCAGTAAGTTTAACAAAAGGTTTAACAATCATACGTTCGTGTATACACGAGCGTATGATTGTGTAGCTGCCACCGGCAGAAATTATCGTGTAGCCCCGTACAGTGAACGTACACTGTACGGTGCGATACATAATTTTTCCGGTGGCAGCTAGTGATTTACACGAACTAAACATTTATCGCACCTACAGATATTTATCGTGAAATACTCGTATTTATCGCAGCTACAAACCGGCGCTTTCAGTAAAGCTGTGGCCGTTGATATTTGTTATCCGTAATAATTATTATTATACTTTACAAGAAACCGCTGCGGCTTCGCCTCCGCGTTTCTTGTGATCCACGGACGCTTTGAACAAATCAAACCATTTGCAGTAATTCGTTAGTAAATTCACTAACTGCCTTAGCAGTTATTGTAGAACTTCTTAAGGGATTTGGCCCGGTACATAGCGCTAAAATCGTGTACATTGAAGGGAATATTCGCTTTCGCGCACTTTCAAACACTTTTTTCGGTTGCTTTTTGACATTGTGTAGCCAAATGATTGGCGTACATAGGCGTGAAATCCGTTTTCGCGCGCAACATCCGGATGCGAAGTTATGAGGGTATCAAAATTCCAAAAAGTTTAAATGCATTCAGGTGTACCAAAAGTCTCGTTATGGACCGATCCCTTTCGAACTTTGCACGTAAATGCACATTACCATGAAGATCGTTTTGACACGGAACCACTGTTCTAGCATGTTTTTCAAATTTTAAAATGAATTTCAAAAATTTTAAAATTCATTTTAAAATTTGAAAAAAATCGTAGAAGTCTGAATCCGTGTCAAAACGATCTTCATGGTTATGCATTTACGCAAAATTTGAAAGGGATCGGTCCATAATGAGACTTTTGGTACACCTGAATGCATTTAAACTTTTTGGAATTTTGATACCCTCATAACTTCGCAACCGGATGTTGCGCGCACAAACGGTTTTCTCACCTAGGTATACAATTCTTCTGGCTACAAAATACCATAAAGCAATGCAAAAAAGTGTTTGGAAGCGCGCAACAGCGAAAGTTCCCCTGGATGTACACGAACTTGGTGCTATGTACCGGGCCAAATCCCTTAACAAGGAGTCTATAAGCTTGGTCCCTCACTCAGTTAGCAACTTTGTTCGCTGGACAGTGGTAGCTCGGTCACTCACCCACCTAGCGATTTTATTCACTGGACAGTGGTGGTAGCTCGGTCACTCACCCACCTAGCGATTTTATTCACTGGACAGTGGTGGTAGCTCGGTCACTCACCCACCTAGCGATTTTATTCACTGGACAGTGGTGGTAGCTCGGTCACTCACCCATCTAGCGATTTTATTCACTGGACAGTGTGGTAGCTCAGTTACTTACTCACCTAGCGATTTTGTTCACCTAGGGTAGCGATTTATTGCTCGCTCATCACTCACATAGTGATTTCGTTTTGTTCACTGGACAGTGGTGGTAGCTCGGTCACTAACTCACCTAGCGATTTTATTCACTGGACAGTGTGGTAGCTCAGTTACTTACTCACCTAGCGATTTTGTTCACCTAGGGTAGCGATTTATTGCTCGGTCATCACTCACATAGTGATTTCGTTTTGTTCACTGGACAGTGGTGGTAGCTCGGTCACTCACCCACCTAGCGATTTTATTCACTGGACAGTGTGGTAGCTCAGTTACTTACTCACCTAGCGATTTTGTTCACCTAGGGTAGCGATTTATTGCTCGGTCATCACTCAGCTAGTGATTTCGTTTTGTTCACTGGACAGTGGTGGTAGCTGGGTCACTCACTGCCGAGTTTTGTTCACTGGCTTTTGTTTCTTTCGAAACCTGGGCTAATTCAATCATGGTTCGGGAATCGGGTTTTTTAGGCATTTGAACATTTGAACAGCAATCAGGCGATTAAATTCAGCGTGTTTGCAAATAGAATATCTACAAATTTATTAAAGTACATACTTAGCACTTTAATAAATGTTCTAAGCAACTGGCACTTCTATTATTCTCAAGGTCACCTTGAATGCTTTACCGAAGCCAGTTTTGCCGAAACCGGCATCGGTGGGACGGGTTTAAATAATTTTTTTAAGGAATGAAATGCATGTGACACAGTTTCTGAACATGCTGAATCTAATGGCGTTTACAGTTTTTTTTATTAGGTTCTGGTTTTTCCGATCTCGATGCCTCAGCTTTTTTGTAGTTATATTATAGATCTAGTTCCTTGATAGATTACAACATACTTTAAATATTCTTTTAAATTTTTAACAAAATCGCAGTATTCTAGAGTGAAGTCGCAGTCGTGTCGTAAATGATTCAAATAAGCAAAATAAAACAAATAATAGATAAAAGGGAAAAACGCAGATACATGTGTGCGTGTGTGTGTGTATGCGGACTGCTGAGCATTGTACACAAATTCAACGTAATACGTACATTTTTTCGCATTATAACCATATTTAAAAAGTCTGTATACGATGCTAGTGTTTTTTCAGTTTTGCATGCAATCGCAGCGGGCAAGCACCTTTAGACTACAAGCGCAGAATCTCAATAAAACTCGCCTTTGAAAATGTCAGCGCTCACGTCCTAATTTTTCTGTTTTTGTTGACAGTGTACTTTGGGTCTGCGATAAAAGATGAACATCCATGCGATGATGCGGGGTAATAGCTAAAACGTTGCTAATGTTGAAAACTGAAGCGCCAAATGCTGATTATGAACGCCACACCTCATACCGGCATCGTTTGAACGACAATACCACCACAATCGGACAGCAAACGTTAATTTCAGTGATTGTCACAAAGTGCACAAGAAACAATTGCCGGTCTATCATAAAGAAAGTATTTCCTGGATTGTTTTATCTTTTGCGATACCGTGCTTGTTTTGCAGTCCCTCGAATTCGTACTTTATACAGCCAGAAATACAGTATGAAAAGAAGCGTTAAGGTACAACAGTTTTCGTCACTTCGCCTACAGAAATATTGTTGGTTTCTTAGTGTATAGCGGAAAATCGTGCAATAACCATGCATTCGCTATCCCTTTTCGTTTTACTGGTGTCTGGCGCAACCGTTGCCTACGCAAACAAGAACCAGGTAAGACCATAAGCAATATATAACGTAGTAAACGTACAAATTTTTCATTATGAAAGTGTTCTTTAATTCAAATTCACTGGATGAAATTGCACAATATGTAATAAATACGTTTCCAGATTTCATATAAATACAAATTATGACATAGCGTAAAATTTGAGTCTCTGTGACACACTTCAGATTGAATTTGTCAACGTTTGCAACAGAATTTCCGCTTTCCTTCAGTATATGTTATAATTAACGCTGCTGTAGATAACTTTAATAGTTGAGTTGTATCATAGCACGCGACAAATACTAAAACATTGTGATGTCCATTCATGAGGCACTTTAAGAAATCAGCGGCTTTTGCAGGATGTTATCGCCGAACTGTTGGCCGGTCGCACTCCGCAACCTGGATGCAGCCCGGTTATGTGCATGATCTTCTGCCAACACGGTACGAACTACCGGTTTCACTTGCCACAGTTGGAAATTAAAATCCACTGAACTGATGATAATTATAAATGGTTCTTCACTGAGGCACCAATACCTAACGAAATTCTGCATGCAGGATTTGAAACCGACGAAAATGGTTGTGAGAGGTGCAGCTGCAGAGCCGGTCCCACTTGCTCGCCGGTGATGTGCGAAATGTTTTGCGAACACGGTGAGAAGACAGATTTTTATTTTGTAGCAGCAGTTGTTTTCGGTTGCCTGCTGGCTATTATACGTATCGTTTTCACTACTCGTAGGATTCGAAACGGACGAGAACGGATGTTCAGTGTGTAGCTGCAAACCCAGACCGACTTGCCGACCGGTGACCTGCGCTCTGCACTGCCCTCACGGTATACTTAGCGAACTTTAAGTTAAAGTGTGTGCGAATTAATTGGAAGAAATGGATTTGTAGGGTTCTTGCAAGACCAAAATGGATGTCCACGATGCTCGTGCAACTTGTGGCCCACGTTTCCGGTTCGCCCAACCCTCGTCCCACCGTTTATCAATAACAACCACTAAATTATTCGATGGTTAGATGTTAACGCAACTGAAAGATCTCGGTTAACAATATTACAAATTATTAGAAGTAGTTGTTTTTCACCTAAGAAGCTTCGACGAACTTTTTGTTAAAAAGCAACCGTATAACTGGAAATTGTTTTGCAATATGATCGAGCGATGACAAATCGAGAAGGAAAAGCGTTTTGTCCTACCCGGCTTTTAATTGTGAGTTTGCTATCAGTGAATACGAGAAGCAGTAACAACAGCGAGTCAGCAACTTTAAAAGCCGATAACACATTACGCTTCCGCAGAAATTGCTACGAGAATCGAATAATTCCACTGAAAAAGGAGACAACAATGTTATCAAATTAAGTTATCAGGTCAAGGACAGCACAATGCAGCAAGATCAAACAATACAGTACAGAGACCAACTTACTGCTGTTTTGCCGCGGAAGCGTTTAGCTTATAAATCTAAAGTAGAATTTATTCGTAACTAGTCTGGTTGCAGCGTTAGAGCATCAGCTTATTCCATAGCACGCAGTACGCACACAATCCACCATGCAGTCCATTGCCATTATTTCCGCTATTTTGGCCCTGGCTGCCGTAGCGTCCGGCAGTGTCATCGCGGTACGGTCTTTTACATAACACTATGGACTGACCACTTATCGTGTGCTGAGTCGCTGGCATTTAAGAGTTGTCGATTATGTATTTGCAGGATGCCGTCGCTGGACAACAGCCAAGGATGTGCATGATTTACTGCGAGCATGGTAATAATGACAGTACCGTAAAATGTAACACGATGATAAAATTAATTTTAAACATGAAGGCATACCTAGTACGATAAATTTACAGTTATTGAATGATGTTTCTTTTTTTGCGTTGAGATGTGTCTATTCTTTAAGAACTTTGCAGCCGTGTTACACGCGATTTGTTCTGGCAGGATTCGAGCTGAACGAAAATGGACAGCAGATATGCAAATGCCGAACGGCTCCCACGTGTGCGCCGGTAATGTGCATGATCTTCTGTGAGCATGGCTTTGACACCGCCGAGAACGGATGCGAAGTCTGCCGCTGCAAGCCACAACCACAACCGACTTGCCCACCGGCCATGTGCCATTTCCAGTGCCCTCACGGTACGTCTCTAAATAATATGTGAAACAAAGTTAATAATTTAAAGGTGAAAATGCATAAGCGATTCATACTGCGTAATATTATAATAATATTATTCATTAGAAGTTTGAAATCTGTAATAGTCATGAATAATGTTGCGCTACACTGCTGTGTTCTGGATTCGAGGCAACTGCTAATTTGGCCGCTACTCCAGTTGTTTATGAGCAGAACGCAGTGCGGTTTCTTCTGGTACACATATATACAAGCATTCCTTTTGCAGGATTCGTCCACGATGCAAATGGATGTCGCACCTGCCGATGCCAATACATGCCACCAATCCACCGACCGACCCTGATCCCTCCGTTCATCGATCCTGAACATCTCGGTTAAATGTTTCACGATTCCGCGATCCGGGAATGAAATAAAAAGGAAATACTACTTTATATTTGGTTATTGCTTTGTTTATGGGTTACCTGGATTCTGTGCTGTACTGCAGCCAGAAATAAAACAAAACCAAATGCTAACATGAGGTCATAATTTTACTGAGACATCCAATAAAATTTGCCCTCGCGGCGCAGTGAAACCCTTCTTAGCCTAGTTACTTCCGGTTTAAGCTTACTTTTGTACCGATTTTTAAGGTGCCTTACGTGCAGGTTACCTTCAAAATCGGTACAAAATTGTTTGGAACTAACAGCAATTACTGGAGCATAACCATAGAACAATATGCTTGTACGAAGGTACAATTGTCATCCGAGACTATTCCGAGCAGTAAACGTGGCGAGTTGAAAGAATTGATATAAGGGATAATATATATGCAAAAATCTGGCTGCGACCAAAGTACGGTATTAAATCATACAGTATATGTATCATATAATTAAATTTTTATGTATGATACGACTATACAGTCGATGCAAGCGGCGACTGGTGAAATGCATTACTGTAATGTTCAACAACAATATTACTCTAGTGTAACAACGGTTCAACGGCGACTGGTGTAATGTATTAATGTAGTGTGGCAAGCAATCGCCTCGCTGATCGCATATCGCAGTGGTAATGCTCATCGGTTATTCGAGCTGCTTTGAACGTTTTGCATATACAGTACACTACTGAGTATTGTATCATAATTAATGTTATTGCTTCACGTACAGAAACAAAAAGTTTTTATATGCTCACAATGGCTACCGCAGCGTGGGTTCGATACACCGTAAACAAGAATGCCTTAAATATTATAAATATAATATTACATAAGGTTGAGCTAATGCTGATACCTCAATCAGAAATAACAATCAAATAATAATACGAGTTGCCATTAATGATCCTTAAAAAATACCTATTTCTGCACATGTAAACTGATGCAGTATGCAATTTATGTATAAGAACGAAGACGTTTTAACCCATGTATTATACTTGCATTAATTTTGCTTGCATTCTTGCATTTTGTACTTCTCGTATTACTTGAACGTACTATGGATCCCACGTTCAACTTTGTATCTGTGTGTAGTCTGAAACGTTACAAATCTGGCAGCCGCAGACCAAAGTATCGTATCGTGCAAACCAGAATCCACACATAAACCACAATGTTCAATAATGGTATTGTTATGAGTTTTATTGATGCTGATTAGTGGTTCAAAATGCATAAATCAGAAGCACTAAATTAATGAGACAATGTACCATATCCGATAGCGGTACTTATCAAGCAGAGCTTCTTCTGGTCCAGGGTGGCATTTCGATAAAGCAATGGCAACTGGCAGGTATAAAACACTCTGGCTGCAACAATCACAATCCAGCTCACGTTTCCGGTCTTTTAGCAGCCTTTAGCACTTTCCTTTGGCCTAGCCAGATTCGCTACCCGTCACCTTTCACAATGAACACCTTCGCAGTATTTGCTATGTTCGCGGTCGTTGCCGTTGCCGCTGCTTCGGTAAGCTCATACTGGTTGTAACAATAAATCCTTAAAACGCTAAAAATGTTATTATGCTAAAAATAATCTCAACGGATTTAAAGACCGCTTGCATCTACCAAGATGGTGAAGGATTGTCTAACGCTTGTACATGGAAGAATGAGTAACCCTAATATTTATATTTGATACTAATTTTACGTATCGTACAGTACACAATATTCTAGCAATTACAAGTGTAATACAAAGTGTAATACAAAGTGTAAAAGTGTAATACAGCGTGTTTTACAAAGTGTTGTTAAAAGCGCATAATTTCGTATATAATATTAACATTTAAGCTTAATTTGTATTCGCAGGCCGTCGAATCATCAGGAAATACCGTCATCCGTCCCGGTTGCCTTCCCGTGATGTGCAACCTGTGGTGCGAATTTGGTTACCAAACCGATAGCAACGGTTGCGATATGTGCAGCTGCAAAAACCGGCCCACCGTCGTCCCTCCGCCACACACTTGCTCGCCAATGAGCTGCAGAATGTTCTGCGAATTTGGTTACGAAACCGATAGCTACGGTTGTGATATGTGCAGGTGCAAACAGGCGCCCACCATTGTGCCTCCTCCACACACTTGCTCGCCAGTGACCTGCAGAATGTTCTGCCCAACTGGTAAATAGCTTTGACCTTTAGTGTTTTTGCAGAACTCCACTGCATATAAAAACCGTTAGGGGAATACTATATATAAGTAATAATGCTTATATTTATTATATCCAACGTTTTCTTTAAAAAACAGGTTTCCGACGTGATGCTTTTGGTTGTGAAGTCTGCGCTTGCAATCCCATGCGCCCTATCTGCAAACCCGTCACCTGCATGATCGCATGTCCTCATGGTTTCGCCCTGGACGCGGCAACTGGCTGCCCGCACTGCTCGTGCAATCTGGCGCCTGTACGCCCCACTCCAGTCAATTAAAAAAATTGTTGTTATTTAAGATCTACGAAATCCTTCTCTACTGTTATGCGAATCTGAGCGACCGGTGAAGTTTTTAAAACAAACCCAAAAGAAAAATGCGCCTTTAAAAAAAGTTTACGTGCGAATGATGGCGCTGACAAAGAAATGAACACCAGAAATGAAATAAAGAACATCGAATGGAATAACTGATTTTGTCTGCTACCTTAATTAAAGGTAACATTTATCAAATACCAGTACTAGCACCGGTAACGTCAAATTTCTACTCACCGCATAATGTGCATCACTTCAAACGAAATCTCGAAAGACATACAAAGCTCTGTACTTACACCACGCGACATTACTGAAACGTATAATAAAAATTATCGTTCATAATGCATGTTTAATTTTACTAATTTCCCAGTTTTGGTTGAAAGAAATTCGTCCCTGGACATATCCACAGAAAATATGTGCTACCAGTGTGAAGCGTTGACAATTAATCGCTGATAGTGAAAGCTTTTGTCGGCTTCTTATCGTAGAAAGGTTATCGATGCCGTGACAAAACAGTTTCTTCAAAAGCCCAACTACCTACAGTATTCCTTAAATTACCCCCAGTTTGGCAAAAACCGCAGTCACAAAGAGATGCACTATATCCGTAGGGACCGTTACTAACCACCAATCGCCCAAAGACAACGCCAAAATGAACACCATAGCTATGTTTGCCGCCCTTGTGGTCATCTTTTTGGCTTCTCAGTCCGACGCCAGAGTAAGTTACACTGTAAACATTCATTTAAGCAGCATTTTAAGGCGCTGCAAGTATGCTTATCCAAAAGACAACAAGTTTTTCTTACGTCTAAATGAGTGTTACCGTTCGTATCTAGGATATTGTCCCTCGGTCGTTGGGAAACATTGTGCCTCGAATTGGTTGTATCCCGATTATGTGCAACCTATGGTGCGAAACCGGTAAAGAAATCAATCGGAACAGCTTTACAAAAAATTTACTTCGCAACGCAGCAGCGTCAGTATTTCATTATCCAGGTTATGAGCACGATCATCATGGATGCAACATGTGCAGCTGCCGGCCAGTGAAAACCACTCCGTCGCCGGTGACCTCGCATACGTGTGAACCGGTGTACTGCCGAATTTTCTGTCCTAACGGTAAGAGACAGACTAAGCATGATGACAGTACGTAATTCATTTTGGCCACAATCTTTTAAGGTTAATCCCCGATACGCCACAAAGTTAATTATTCTTAAGGATGTGCACGGTTTGCTAGTGACCCTCGTTGCAGGTTTCCGCCGCGATGCCTACGGATGTGAGGAGTGCGCATGTAACCCTGTACGACCAACGTGCCCGCCGGTGATGTGCCTGATCGCGTGCCCTAACGGTAAGTTTTCACAAGAAAAACAGTACGCTCCGTTCTGTTATAACTGGTGTCTGGTATGGCATTTAGGTTTTGCTCAAGGTGAGAACGGGTGCCCGAGATGCGCGTGCAATAACGTGCCCCTGCGTCAACAGCAACGCCACTGCCGTAAACTACAATTAACTACCTGTGGTGACGGAAACCGGCGGACTTGGTTGCATCCTACTTGATTCATGCCGTACAGATACGCGACGATTACTCGTACATGTGACTGAGTGCTACTTTTCCAGCGATATTAAACGCAGTTTAGAGCTACCAAAGCTGACAATGTTTTCTTTTAGGATAACTATAAATACGTTCAGTTCACTTGCCTCTAAACCAAGCTCTCTCTCTTAATTACTGGCAAATTGCCAAAAATGCCTTAACAACGCAAAACCATCAAATTCTAAACTGCAAATAAACAACCTGTCAAGTCTTCTGCAGTTCGTTTTTCAGCTGAAAATTTGCTTTTTAAAGAATGTTTTATTCACGTTTGCATCAAACACAGTTGCACTTTCAAGATGCTTAGCTATCAAAAGATAATCCTATAAAAAGCAATGTGTACGCTTAGTTTTAATATTAACCCAGCTGCTGATTTATCTGTACAGATACGTGCAGCGACGTAAACTTGTACTTACTTTTCTACAAAATAAGCATGATTTCCGGAACAAAATGCTTTCGAATGTGATGCTGTCGAAAACAGTTCTTGCCTCTCATGCAGTGCATGGAAATTGCAAAGTATCTACTCACCAGGCATGAAAACGTTATGTATTGTGTATTATGTGCATCGAAATCAAGAACGCAGTCTACAGATGATATACGTCGAAACCAATCTCGGATACACATTCGCAGTTTCACACTGTCGCACGTTACTTTATAAGTGGAAGTTGTAGCGATTACTGCTAGACAGTTAAGATCAACAGGAGATCATCGGAACGACATCTCACCCAATAAAATCTAACGCTGAATTCACAAGAAAAAACAGAACATTATTAATTTTACGATAAAGAAAATAAACTATGGCCTTGGCAGTTTCTCAACATAAAACATCCAATACACCGAGAAGAAAATGTCACCAACATGCTAAAAAAACGGATACGTACTCGCGTTTTCGTCGCTGCATTTATCCCACTTCCCGTCACAAGTGCCACCAGTAACCGGCTCGCTTTCACTCCGACCAAGCCAGGCCAGGCAAACTCAAGCCCGCTTCAATTTCATCTTAACACAGGCGAAGCCCAAGTTGGGAGCCAGCAAGCGGCATTCATGCAGTGTCCAGCGATCCGCCTCGGCGTCATACACTTCGATGCTATCGTGGTTAGGATCGTTCTCGGTGCCCGAAACGTACCCACCGAGGACGTACAGCTCCCCGCCCAGACACGCACATGCCAGATCCTTACGCGGGTGCACCAGGTCTCCTGTCGTCATAAAGCAGCGTTACTGACACTACGATTTCAATAAACACCCCAGCCGTGCAAGCTAGTCTTGAAATTCCCGTGTAAAAGCACAGGCAGCGCGATGTTAGCGAATCGGAACGATAGCCACTACATACACCACATTAGCGTAAGTGCGTAACACAAGAATTTGTGTTTTTCGCTGTTCCGATACGCTGGCAATTCCCAGACAGGCTTATAAACGTACTAGGCCGTTGTGCCAAAATCATAAATCAAATTTTTAACAAGAAAAAAATTCATAATACAGAAAATAGTTAAAAGTACCATGTACAACGAAAGTAACGCAAACCTTTTCTCAGCCACTTGTTGGTGACGGGATTGTAGGCCTCCACGCGCGCACAGACCCCCAGGTCACTGGCTCGTCCCCCTACACAATGTAGCGCATGAATTAACTGGTCCATCTTTTCCGTACCACGACTATACTGTACCCGTACCAACAACGTAGATCCACCCGTCGGGACCCACGCACGCCGCAAAACTGTCGCGTGCCATAGGCATGTCGGCCAGTCGGCTCCACGTGTTATCCGCGGGGTGGTAGGCGTGGACCAAGTTGCTAACGTTGCCAATCGCGATAGACCCTCCGAACGCGTACAGTAGCCCATCATGTGCCACCATCACCAAACCCGTGAGAGGCACCGGTAGATCAGCCAGCGTACGCCACGAATTACTTGGGAAATCGTATACTTCCATAGTCGACAGGATGAGCTGCGAGCGTTTTAAGTCATAGCCACCGGCCACATAAACACGATCATCCAGAGCAGCTGGAGCTCCTGAGACGCGCCAGGTGTGCATGCCGGCCACCGGCGGTCCCCACTCTTCAACCAGGCCGGTGAAGCGACGGTTGCGCTGGACGATTTTCCAGCCATGGATAGCGCTGGAGATCATCATCCAACGACCGTCCAGCATCACGACGCTACTGATGTCCGCAGGGAGTGACAATTTCTTCAGGTCCCACACAGCCGGAATCGACGGGTCGAACACCTGCACCGCCGTTCCCTTACTGTCCGCATCGTAAACATTCACGCAGAACATCACTTCGTGTGCACCTGTCACCAACACAACAACATTACGTAATTGATATTGTCTCCACAAACCCCATAAAGCGTAAACATGAGTCTAGAACAGTTACCGACTGAATGCCGCTGGGTGGTGTTATTGTTGTTCTGTATCCCGCCGGCCAATTCATCGACCATCCCAGCCGCCGCACTTTCCAAGGCCAAATCGTACTGCAGCCGAGACTGGGCACTGAGGAACGGAGCGCGGATGCTCTGCAGCACCGTGGGTACTTGCAGCAGTCGTCCGGGACGATCGTAATCCAACCAGCGCAGCACCGCCTCCAAAACTTCATCCTCACTGTTCACTTCCACCTCATCCGATGCAATCAGCGCAGCCAGCTGCAACCCAGTAAATTGCTGAATAATCAGAGCATTATTTCGTGTTCGCCGGGAAAACGCCGCACATACGGTACGAAGGTCTCTACGGTCTAGCTAATGCCGCACAAAGTACGACTGCATAAAACACAAAGAAACTCACAAAAGTACAGCCTGTGTACTAGCGTATTGCCACACCTCCCGTACAAGTATTGTTCAAGCACCCGATTATATATTGAGCATAAAGGAACAGGTAGTAATAGTATGCAAATTGCCCAAAGCGGTATGCAGCGCTTTGGCGATAGCCGCTGCATTACAATTTTGTGTAATGACAAACTGTGCTCCGCAGTTAGATTGCATGTAACGCATGAACAGTATGGCGTGAGCGCCGTAGTATACAAAGTAACGGAGCCCATAAATTTGCTGTATTACGAACGCTCAATAATATTATGTAATCAGGCTGGTACACGCTAGCAAGTAGCAAGTACATCTGTGTGCATAGCATACGAAGACGCACGTAATGTTACTAGTTTCTACCCACTATGCACGGTTACACATATCTCGCTCAATCAGTCCGACTGAGCAATCATCACCTGTTGCGCCTCCATCCGCAGGAAATCCTGGCTCTGCGCCCAGCGCAGGAAGTGTGGATGAATGGTGGCCAGGGCGGCGGCGGCCAGACTGGGATTTTGGTACATTGTGGCGAGCGCGTGGACGGTCAGGCAGTTGGAGAGGCGCATGTGCGTCTCGTAGTAATTGCAGCAGTGTCCAATAGCGCCATCCATCTGCAGAAACTGCGCCGCAACTAGGATGTCCGCAACGTTGTCATCGTTGAGGCTCATATCCAGAGTATAAGCGTAGTGCACCAGTCTAGACGGGAGACGCAAAAAGTGCAGTAATAATAATTATAATATCACTTGAAACTGCATTGGAAAAAATAACATGAACGGTACGAATGAAGCAGTCAAATACAAGTCTCCAACTTAGGCTACCAGGTGTGTAACTGCCAACTGATATGAACGAAAGTTACGGTTCGTCAGCCAGTTCACTGGAAATTCACCAGGCTAACTGGACCTGCTAAATTGCGTACGTTAAGAAAGCCTACTGCTCAATTTACGAGAATTTTCAAACTGATTGTAGAACCTGCTTAATAGAAGCAGCAGTAAGCAAAATCTCTTTACTCACTCGTTCAAAGTGGGACCGTCGAAATCGAGCAACTCTGGCTGTGAGGAATCCTTCCCTTTCTTCCATTTAAAAAGCGATCGAAAGTAGAGGCTGTGGACGCTGAGTACGTTGCGATGGCAGGAGATGACCACCGCTGATTCTCCTTCGTTGCTCTTCAGCTTCACATCGCACAGGTCTCCTGTAGACTGCAGTTCATGCAGTCCGCGCAGAAATTCCACAGCGAGACAACTGTGAGACGGCTGATCAGCAGAACGCTTCGACATTTTTGCAGAGCGGACGATGAGGGATAGAATCAAATATAGGTCGATAGAATCAAAGTGTCTACTAGTTATTGCTAATTTAATAGCTCTGCGAACTGTGAAGGAAGTAAAGAACCGCAAACTTCAGTGCAAAGGAAAATAACCCATGATGAGTCAACAAAATTCTGTCAGCTTCGAAGCTTTTAAAACTGGCCGTGGGCGACTGGGTTTTGGATTCCTGGTTTCAGGTGTAACAAAGCACCGCCGTAAGGAGGCGGGCGGCTACTAAACTACTCGTACTTACATTTTTCGCATTCTGTACGATACTAGTGGACCCCGCGTAATTTACGCGGAGTAAATTAGCGGCTGATAACTGCAACTCGTACAATACTGTACTTATTAGTTTTCGTGAATACAGCGAATATAAATATTCCAAATTTATGGGCTAGGCCATTCTGTAGTCTGTACTGCGGCGCTCCACGCCACACTGCTCATGCGTTACATGCAGTCTAACTACGGAGCACAGTTTGTCATGGTACATAGTTGTAGTGCAGTGGCTACCGCCAATGCACTAACATAGCGTTTTTTGCATACTACGGACTACTGCCTGTTCCTATACTGTATGCTGAGATGCTCAATACTGTATTATGTAATCGGGTTTGTACAATACTTGTACTGAAGGTGCGAAATACGCCAGTACACAGATTGTACTTTTGTGAGTTTTTTGTGTTGTATACAGTCGTATTCTGTGCGGCATTGGCTGGACCTTAGAGACCTTCGTACCGTATGTGCGGCGTTTTCCCGCCGAACACGAAATAATGCTCTGATTATTCAGCAGTTTACTGGGTTGCAGCTGGCTGCGCTGATTGCATCGGATGAGGTGAAAGTGAACAGTGAGGATGAAGTTTTGGAGGCGGTGCTGCGCTGGTTGGATTACGATCGTCCCGGGCGACAGCTGCACCTACTCACGGTGCTGCAGACCATCCGCGCTCCTTTTCTAAGTGCCCAGTCTCGGCTGCAGTACGATTTGGCCCTGGAAAGTGCGGCGGTTGGGATGGTTGATGAATTGGCCGGCGAGATAAGGCAGAACAGTGACAACACCACCCCACGGCATTCAGTCGGTAACTAAAGTCCAACCGGTTCAAGGTAGCAATTACTACTGCATCTTTCGCTGGTGCCATCTGGTTGATGTATTCCATGTAGCCTGAAGTTGTTTGTGTTGGTGACAGGTGCACACGAAGTGATGTTGTGCGTGAGTGTTTACGATGCGGACAGTAAGGGAACGGCGGTGCAGGTGTTCGACCCGTCGATTCCGGTTGTGTGGGGCCTGAAGAAATTACCACTGCCCGCGGACTGCCGCAATGCCGTGATGCTGGACGATCGCTGGATGATGATCTCCAGCGTACATGGCTGGAAGACCGTCCAGCGCGATCGTCGCTTCACCGGCCTGGATGATGAGTGGGGACCGCCGGTGGCCAAGATGCTGACATGGCGCGGCGCGGAAGCTCTGGCTGTTCTGGATGGTCGCGTTTACGTGGCCGGTGGCTATGAATTTAAACGTTCACAGCCCGTACTGTCGTCCGTGGAGGTATACGATTTCCCTGGTAATTCGTGGAGTGCGCTGGCCGATCTACCGGTTCCCCGGATGCATGTGGTCATGGTGGCGCACGGTGGGCTGTTGTATGCGTTCGGTGGGGATATCGAGGAGGACAACGCTAGCAACTTGGTGCACGCCTACCACCCCGCGGAAAACACGTGGAGCCGACTGGCCGACATGCCCACGGGACGCGATGGGTGCGCGGCATGCGTAGGGCCCGACGCCCTGATCTACGTTGTTGGTACGGGTACATGAAGGATGCGAAGAAGATGCGCCAGTTAATGCATTGCGGTACCTTGTGTAAGGGGACGAGCCAACGATCTGGGGATCTGTGCGCACGTGGAGGCCTACAAACCCGTTACCAATCAATGGCTGGGGAAAGGTAGGTCAGCTTTCGTTGTAAACTTGTACATAATTGTATGATAATTACACAACGGTCTGCACGTATACGGCTGTGCGTGTTAATGGAAATCGTTGGTGGTCGTAACGCTTTTTATAACGACAGGGGACCTGGTCCAACCGCGCATGGATCCCGGATGTGTTTGTCTGGGCGGGAAGCTGTACGTCCTGGGTGGGTACGCTCCGTATGGAGAGGACGATGCTGGCCATCTTAGCATTGAAGTGTACGATGACGAGGCGGATCGCTGGACACTGCATGAATGCCGGCTGTTATCCTTCAATTTGGGCTTCGCCTGTGTGAAGATGAAATTAAAGCGGGCTTGAGTTTGCCTGGCCTGGCTTGGTCGGAATGAATGCGAGCCGGTTACTGGTGGCACTCGGGACGGGGAGTGGGATAAATGCAGTGACGAAAACCCGAGTGTGTATCCGTTTTTTTTTAACATGTTGGTGACATTTTCTTCTCGGTGTAATGGATGTTTTGTGTTGTGAAATCGCCAAGGCCATAGTGTTTTTCCTAATCGTAAATAATGTTCTGTTTTTTTGTGAATTCATGTGTTGGATATAATTGGGTGGGATGTCGTGCGGATGTTCTCCTGTTGCTCTTGACTGTCTAGCAGTAGTTGCAACAGATTGTACTTGTACCGTACTTATAAAATAACATGCGACAGTGGGAAACTATGAATGGGTTTCCAAGATTGATGTCGACGTATATCATCATTCTGTAGACCGTAAGTACGTTCTTGATTTCGATACATCAGTACATTCTTAAGTACGTACATAATGTTTTTACTTTGCAATTTTCATGCATTTAGACGCAGGAACTTTTTTGCGACCGTCTCACATCCGAAAGTAGTTTGCTCTGGAAATCACGCTTATTTTGTAGCGAAATGGCTGCCGCATAAGTAAAAGTACGAGAGTCTGTCTACGCGACCGTCGCTGCACCGCCGCGCGTACATATAAATCAGCAGCTGGGTTTGATTACAATTACGAGTACACGTTTGATTTCTCTTTCGGATCATCTTTTGATGGATTATTTCTTTAGGATTATCGTTCACTTCTTGTAAGTGCAACTGTTTTCAATGCAAACTTGCATAAATCATTCTTTGAAAGTAAATTTTCAAGTGAAAAACGAATTGCAGAAGACTGTTTATTTGCAGTTTAGAATTACATGGTCTTGTTCTATTAGACGGTTCTGCTAGTAAAAACGGTTTGAAAGAGAGCTTAATTTGCCATTAGAGACAGACAGAGTTAATAGTTGCCCTAGAATTAAACATTGTTAGGTGGTGGTAGCCTTGAACTTCGTTTTCCTATAATATCGTTGTAGTAATCAGTACTCGGTCACATAAATTGTACGTGTAGGGCATGAATCAAATACGATGCCACCGTTCAGTCAGTTTCCGTCACCATAGATACAGGTCAGTATTTAATTCCGGTTTAAAGTAGTGGCGTTGCTGTTGGACGCAGCGGCACGTTATTGCACTCATCTCGGACACCCGTCCTCACCTTGAGCAAAACCTAAAGACCATAGAAGTACCGGTTATAACAGAACGAGCCGTACCATGTTTTCTTGCAAAACCTTACCGTTATGGCACGTGCTCACGCACATGACAGGTGGGCACGTGGGTCGCACAGGATTACATGCGCACTCCTCGCATCCATATGCATCGCGGCGGAAACCTGCAACGAGGTCATTATAGCAAACACTGGACCTCCTAAGGATAATGCATTTTGTGACAAATCGGATAGTAACCATAAAAGACAGCGGTCCAAATGAATTACACAGTGATTTAATGTTGTTTATTACCGTTTGGGCACAAAATCCGGCAGTACACTGGTTCACACGTATGCGAGGTCACCGGCGACGGAGTGGTTTTCACTGGCCGACAGCTGCACATGTTGCATCCATGATGGTCATGCTCGTAGCCTGGAAAACAGTGTACAGGCTTCCTGCTGCGCTTCTCAATAAAATCCGTTCCGGTTGGTTTTCCTTACCAGCTTCACACCAGAGATTGCACATAATCGGGATACAGCCAATTCGCGGCACAATGTTTCCCGATGACCGAGGGACAATATCCTAAATACTTGTAGCGATACGTAAGCTTCTACATATTTGAAAATGGAAAGACAAAGTCATGTTCAAGAAGGAAATCTGCAAAGAAAAAATTAAATAGTACTAATCTCGTAACTCGTTCGAAGCCCTGCTATTTGTCCGGCACGGAAAAGCAACGATCAGACATCTTGGGATGGGACAGACAGTTTACCATCATTCTGCGCAAAGTTCTGATTGTTCTAACAAAACTACGTTCATAATTGCAATACATATGAAAATAACGTTGTAGTCGTGTTCAATGTGAGCGCTCTTAAGCACATAATTCCGTGCAAACCATATGCAATTTTTTACCTGGCGATTATTTATTGCCAATGTGTTGCACGCCCATAGTTTTCGCAGGCTGCTAGCAACTCCTGCTTACAACTTCTTACTCCGACATTTTACTTGTGTCAAGAACTTATGCAAATCTTTGTCGTAATCGGTGTTTTAAAGAAAACCAAAAGTAAGTTAATGTACCAGAAAAATGTTACCGAGTTTGGATTTCGGGTAATAACCGAGGCCCGGTCCCAATTTAAAAGAGCACAAAATTCGAGTATCTGTACACCCATGAGAACATCCGCTTTCGCCCGAAACCAAAGTACCAGACATTCTTTTGAACTTTTTTAAATTGCTCTGTGACATTCTACAGCAAAATGCTTGGTAAACGTTAGCTTTGAAATCGTTGATCAGTTGCATGACATTTTTTAGAATTTTAAAATAGATTTCCATGCAGTTATCCAGCTTCCGCCGATCGGATGATTCCGTTCAGATAAGGCTGTTTTGCCTGGTTTTGCGCATGAGTCTAAGACTAAGAGTAGACAGTTGACAAAAAGTTGATTGGAAATTTGGAATGTATCTATCTAACCTTGCTCCGTGTGGGTGGGAAGGTGTATTCCCATATACAGTACAGTGTCGCATTAAGCTTTGAACGCTCTTGACTGTCCATGGGCATTGGCGCTGGCAAACACCCTAGTCATCACCGCTGACCTACGGTCAGCAGAAGTTCTCCGGAAGCTCTCTTTCTTAATTGGTTTCTTCATCTGTGTAATAGGATAGCGCCAGGGCCAGCCTGTTACACTTTTTTGTATAAATATTGTCTGAACTTTATTGTACAAAAGATCACAAGTTCCGCTGAAATGCGGGAAAAAAGAACAAAGAAAGTCAGTTTAGCGACTGGTCTAGCGAGACAGCGTGCAAGGCCAGCTGGGTGCAAGGCCAGCTGGTCCACAGACATAACATGTGCGCAGACCAAGCTCTATCCAGCGCGAGCGAAGGAGCCCTGAGTGGCTGCGATTGAGTGAGCGCATATCCGGGTAGGCGGAGAGTACAGCGTACGTACGAGCAGGAGGAGCAGAACGACATGACATTGTGTGCCGCACACAATGTCATGTCGTTCTGCTCAGCGGCATAGCACACAGTCGCGAGTGCGCCATACTGCCTACTTGGCATCGGCTTATTCATTGCGCCCACTGATTTCCAGATTATGCCCGACACTGACGGCAACGAATGTCACCACCGCCACGCGTGCCTGGAAGTTTGAGGCCGACACTGACGAACATCCAGCGGAAGCTTCCCGACACATCCATAAAGCATGGGACACTCCTACGACCCTGCAAACATTTTCAAAGCTATTGTTTTGAGTTGTTTTTGCCAGGTAACGCATCGATAAAGCTGGTAGCGGTTTTTCAAAGCTCACCACCGATGGCCTGAAAATCAGCTTTTAGCTCGAAGTCCCCCATATCAGCATTCCGGCCATAGGGCTACCGTTTTGGCGATGGTGGCAAGGGGGACACGGCAAAAATGTCCGGGGGGACATTTTTATCGGTCGCACCCGACTATACTGCGGCAACATATCTAAACGCTGTTGTAACGCAGTGTGTGGCAAAACAGCAAAAGGCTATTTTGACGCACAGGAGAATACTGCGGCAAAATAGCCATAGCCCAGTAATCTTAAGGCTATGGCTGTATTTAAGATTACTGTGAATTAAGAATACTGTGAATCACCATCCCATTGTCTTTTCGCTTTACCGGTAGAATATTGATGATCTTGACTTTTATATTTGTACTTTTATTTGCGATTCATTCTGGGATTTTCTTGCCAGCTGCAGCTAGCTGTTCTTGCCCTTGTGCTTTTGCACTTCTTGCCCCTTATTACAGATACTTGAAATAAAAATCATGCAATGTTGCGTCGTGCCGTTCGTACTTACGCAGTGATGAATGTCCTGCTTCACGGTGTTCGTAGGATGCCGAGATTAATCCGTTGCGCTGCGTAACTTCAGGCTGCACGAACCGGATTCCCAACGACAGTTGCGCGCTGCAACCTTGCTGGGAATGCGGTGATATCAATGGTGACCGGTTGGCGCAGTTACGTCGATTCGTGCAGCAGCGTGAGACCATTATGACGCTACCCGGAGAAGCTCCAACCGGCCATGGTCATGCAGCTGTGCCAGGAGATGGACGCTGCCGGCATCCTACAGCCGGATGCGCATTTCCGCTTCGTCTGCGGCCGGGAATTACTGTGGAAATATTACGATGAGAACCGCTTGGACGGGGGCTTAAAAATGATAGATGAATTGGTTGGCTGCGTACGGTAAATTTTTTTCACATAGTTTAAGTAATCATGGAAGTAACGATTGAAATATGACGGTCTACAGGAAAGTCTACCCAGAGTCGCCATGTTTCGTGCTCGCCTGCTGATGTCGGCGGGACTGACCGTCGTTGAAGCGCTCCACAAGCAAATGCTGAACAATGGAAGGGATCGGATGTCGCGCCCGACAATCAAAAAGCTGGAAGCATCCGCGTCCAGAGTGTGGGCTCTCTATATGGATTTTTGTAGCGAAGGCCGGAGCATTTTAATTCAGTTGTTCGGTAAGTAGTCCAAGGAGGTCCAGGGAAACGATGCGGAGTGTAAGCAAGCAGTTGTGAAATTGCTCCACATTCAGCAGACTCTACGTGACCTGAAATAGTGTTTGTTGAGGGTGCCCTCGTTAATTTGACGTAGTGTTTTTACAGTGCTGTTTTTGTATAGGATAATTGTTGATTTTAAACTGAGGAATACTTTTCAGTTATTGTGTTGTTGTTTAAAAATTATTTGCTTTCTGGCGGTACTACTGCCATTTATCGGTGCGATCGTGGACCTGTGCCGGGAAGGAGATTTCAGGTGGTTTTGATTTTAATAAGGTGGCATCATAACAGGTAGCTTTGATTGCAGCACCGTTTATCGTGAAAAAGACCT